CCAGAATAATGGGATGCAGAATATAAAATAACCATGGGAAACCTCTAAAGACAGTGCTGAAAGAATGGGCAAAAAGGAGACTAAAAATGACTAGGCAAACTTTTAAAAATACATGACAGGAAATGACACTGAAATAGATAGTTAGTGGACGATGACAGCAGATTAGATGGATCCGGAGAGAAAATGAGCAAAATATTTCTGTTCTGCAACATGGTCAAGGAGATGGGACGAGAGAATCATTCTTTCTGGAGGGCAGAATGGCAGGGGAGCCCTTTCCTGTTTTTACCAAGGATGGAGGAGAGAGAAGGCCATAGATTCTTTTCTGTATCTCAGTTTAAAGTTCTGACACAGTGATATAATCCCAAAATGGGCCAACATGTGTCCTACCTAAACTTACCTTGCCCGTCTGTGTGTGTTTTGCACTGCTGGTATTTCAGGATTGTGAATCTCCTCAGTCCTTCTCTGCCCCTATTGGGGAAACTTGCTACACCCACTCCCCCAGGCCTGGGATGGCCTCACTGGCTGGTGCCGGGCGCCCTCTGGTGGACAGAGCCAGGTCTGTTGCCTCCGCCACCTCCATCTACAAGCCAGAAGGCCATCCAGCGAGCGCGCCCAGGCCACTTTGGCCTTCCCCTCTGCACCAGCCTTTTCAGAGGGTACTCCTTTGCCCCGTGAGTTTAGCTAACATTCTGTGGGCGCCTTGCGGGGAATTCTGGAGACGATCAGGCCTCAGCCCCACCCTGGATGGCTGCTGGGCTCTTGGAGGCTCACACCAGACCCACCCTCCAACCAGAGCTGTGCTCTCACCGCTGTTCCCTGCCATTCCATCTGTCATCCTGCCGGCCCCAAGGCTGGGCTTCACTTCTTCCTTTGTTACAGCTGCCCCTGCCTCCTCCAGCCCTGGACCAATTACTCCTGCTGAAAGAAGCCCTCGGCACAGTTCACGTTTGATGACAAGTAGGAGTCAGTGCCAGGGAGCAGGTCCCAGCTGTGTGACCCGAGCAAGGTCTGTTTCCTCGTCTGCAAACTGGGGGTGCTAACGAGGCCAGGAACCCGTGAGTGCTGCAGATGGGCTAAGTGCTCAACAACTAGCTGGAAGGATGACATTTCCAACCCACCAAGAGGCGCCTTGTGTCCTGTCAGACAGGCCTTGAGTTTGCAGACATAGGGTTGCTGTGAGTCCGAATCAACGGATGGCAGCTAACAGCAACAGATACCTACACCATTGAGTGTTAAGGGGGCAAAACGTCATTGTTAGCACGTTGCTGTGAGCACGTTGCTGTGAGCTCAGAGGCCCCTGGAAGCTGTGCTTGCCGTCAGCACCTGCCCATCTGTGGCTTCTTTGAGGAGTCACCTTTGTCCTCAACGGCCTGTGTGGAACCTGGTGTCCTGCTCAATTGTATCCAATTCTAAAAGCTTCCATCCACTCCCCAGCTCGCCTCCTTCTCAATGTCTCCGTTTCAAACCATCAGAGCTCAGCGCACGTGTCTCTAAGAGCTCGGAGCAGTGGCAGCTAGCCCACACTGCAATTCTCTCCTCAGCACCTGGCCTGGCGCCGGGCCAGTCCCCAGAACAGGTTTGAATGTGTGCAGATGAGTCACAGGCACAGGTGTGAGGAGGTGAGGAGGGTGAGGCAGCAGCCCTGCAGGTGCAGGCAGTGGGGGAAGGGCCAGGCTGGCGGCTCCCAGCAGGAGCTCGGGGCGCCCCCAGCGTCAGGCCTCTGCCTGCCCCGAACCTGGTGCTGACAGCAGCCCAGGGCTCTTCACCATCGCCGGCAGCTGCCACAAAGCAGGTGCCCAACAGCTGTTGAGATGAACTGCAAGCCACCAAGAACAGGTCACTGCGAGCAAGGATTGGGAGAGCGGACCCAGACCTTACGGCTCTGACCTGCCACACAAAGGATCAAGTGTTGCCACAGTCGATGGGGCTGGAAAGAGTGAAAGACAGGGAGGGTGGCCCGAGCTCAGCCACGGTGTGTTTTAGGGAGAGGATGCTGCCCATCCTGGGAATGAGGGCCGGTCCCTAAGTGCCTTGAACGTCACGTCAAGAAATCAAGCTTGCTGAAGGCAAGAGTGCCACTGAAGGGCCTTAGGCAGAAGGGTTTTGACAGTGTTTTAAAAGCCCCTCTGGGGAATGAACCGTTGGTGGCTACAAGAGTGGGCACAGGAAGCCCAATGAGGAAGCTGCTATGGTCTTCCAGCCCACAGGTGCCAGTGGCCCTGACCTGGGGACAGCGGGGCACAGTAAGGAAGGAGAGGAGACACAGGTGGGCTTGTGAAAGGAAACCCCTGTGTCTCCATGGCCCCAGCTCCAGCTCCCACACCCTCACACACCACTCGCCAGTCTGGCCCCCTCCTGGCTCCCCATTACATGCAAGACAAAATTCAAACTGCTGGCCTGGCCTCCCAGCTCACCTCCAACCCCTTACATGCTCCTTGTAGTTCCCATCTTTGGTTCCCTTTGTCTGCAGCACTCTGCCTGCCCACGGCCGCTCAATCTGCCTAGAGACCCCTACTCACCTTTCCTAGCTCAAACCAAACATCACTCCCTCCAAGAGGCCTGCCCCAGCCCCACAGGACTGACCATTTCCTTCCCCACTGCAGTGCCCTCCCGGAACCTGAAGCATTCAGCAAGGGAGGGAGGACCCAGCCCCATCGTATTTTTTTGAAAGCGCTTCAGCTGGGGGCTTTCAGCACCTTTGCTCAAAGTTGGGCAAGGAAGGGTCTGTTGCTACCATTGTTTTTGTGAAAGACAACAGAAGACAGAAAGGGTTAATACCAGATCAGCTGAGACACTGAGACCGGAGCTGGGGACCAAACCTGGGCACTTTCAGGGAACTGCCAGAGGAGTGGCATGTGGCATAGCAGGGGTTCTGCAGGACAGTCTGCCTCCTGCAGGAAAGGGAGGCCGTGCACTGGGGGCTCTGGAAAGACCCTGCGCAGAGTCGCATGCTGGGCATCCACCCTGAGCTGCCACCATCTACGCTGCCTTCCCGGCCAAGCCCCCAGTGACCAGCAAGGACCTGACATCACCAGGGCATCCAGGTGATCCTAGCTTTCTCCACGGCCCTGCCACCTCCCCAACTTCTCCGCGGCCCACGCTTCCTGTGCCCAACCTCGGCCCCACTGGGCTGCCTTTAGTTCTCCAAGGCAGGCTGGCCTCTCCCCAGAGCTCGTGCACACTTGTTTGCTCACCCTGACTTACTACTGTCCCCCACCACCCCTCAGGCCAGGTCACATGCCATCCTGTGTCCCGTAGCACCCAGTGCCTCCCCCTTTCGGGCCCACATTCCTGTTGGTCACCTTCCCTTCTGCCCCCCCAGCCCCTCCCACCACCCATAAAACCCACTGCCATCGAGTCGATTCCAACTTATAGTGACGTGACCCTACAGGACACAGCAGATCTGCCCCGCAGGGTCTCCAAGGCTGCAGTCTTTACGGAAGCAGTTTGCCACATCTCCCTCCTGTGCAGCCGTTCCACTCCAGGTTAACCTTTCAGCTAACAGCCCAGCTTAATCACTGTGCTATCAGGGCTCCTTCTCGCACTGCTGTCGCTGTCGAGTCAGGTCCGACTCAGCGACCCCTCCTTGGGTTTCCAAGGCGTTATCACTACGGAAGTAGATTGCCCAACCTTCCTTCCAAGGAGTGGCTGGTGGGTTTGAACCGCCAGCCGTCTGGTTAGTCATATGCCTTAGGCGCTAGGCCACCAGTGCCCCCCTTACACTGACTGGGAAAACCACATGGCCAGTTTCTCCGGAAGTGCTCTATGTCACGTGGCAGTGACAAGCTCAGCCTGGACTGGCCAGCATGTGTTAGGGGCAGGTTCTGTGAGGGAGACAGGTCTTCTCGCAGGACTCCAACTGTGCTATCTGAGGTGTAAGGCCCAACTTCCCAGGCCCCCAGGGAAAAGGACTAAGGGCTCTGCCCCTCCATATCATACCCTGTTTGGGGGCAGTGACGAGAGAACCCCCAGCAGATTTTGGGGTGATGAGAGCAGAGACCACATCCATTGCCCTTTCCCAGGCAAGACCCCAGAGCCAGGGTTTGTGGGACTGAGGTGGACTCTGAACTGGGGGAAACTGGATCTGCTGGGGCTAAGTTGCGGCTTTTTGCCAGCAGGGGCGCGCTAGAGAAACTGGGTGATTTACAGAAACTGCAAAAGAAAGGTTTCCTGTCCTGAGCCTCTGGCCTGAGAGGCATCCCGGCCCCACAGCCTGGCCTTCCTGCCAAGGGAGAGAGAGGAGGCGAGGCCAGAGGGGACTACAGTCTTTATTGCCTCTGCGCTGGGCTCCCAGGCTGCGGTTCAGAGGTCTCCAGGCAGCAGGCGACTCTGGGCCCAAATTATTGCTACTTGGCAAGGCCACCCGGGGGCTTCCTGTAGTGCCCTGAGTGTGGGTGGGATGTGAACATGCAAGTTCTATGCAAATGGCATGCAGACCAACCCAGCAGCTCCAGAGGTCTCTGGTCCAGCCATGCTGCTGGAGGAGCCTGGAGCCACCGGCCTGGGAGGGCAGTGGGAGCCGCCAGGTCCTTACCCCCACACAGCAGCGCGGTCTGGCTCTGCCTCGAGAGTCAGGGTTTGGGGTGGGGAGGTCCCTGAGCGTCAGCTCTGGTGCGGCCACTGGCTGGAGAGGAGCAGAAGCCTGGCCCCAAGACAACAGGAAGAAAGCAGGGTGCCCACGGGGCAGCCAGACAGACTGAGACCCAGAGAGAGAAAAGACTGCTCTGGGTCACACGCAGGGGCAGCAGCGCCTAGGCCGCCTGAGTCCAGAGAGGCCAGAAAGCCTCAGAGGCTAAAGCTACAAACAATAAGATACACTGATAAACAGAAAACAAGCCGCAGTCCCTGATCCCTGGGCTGAGTGACCCTCCAGCAGCCCGTCTAAAGGACGCAGCGTCCTTGGTCTTGTCCCTCAGAACTCGGTGCTGAGTTGGCCAGTCCAGAAAGCTCTAGGAGGAGGCAGGCAGGGCCCCAGGGTCCTTGGTTTGAGCAGGTCAGACTCAGTTATTATTCATAATCCACCAGGAGGCTGTGGGTCAGAGGGTGGGGAGTCAGGAGTCAGCAAGGGGCCACTGCCCACCCCAGGTCCCAGGACTGTGGCGAGGGCTGGGGCTGAGCGCACCTGGGAAGGACACAGTGGTGAGCGTGTCTGGAGCCTGCAGGTGGTCGATGAGGATGCGCTGGAAGGCCTTGCTGCAGGCCGACTGCTGGTGCCTGGGGAGGGTCGCAGGGTGCAGGGACTGAGACTGAAACCAGGGACTGGAAGACCAGGACCCGCTCCCCCTCCCACCCCAGGCCTGCTGGTCCCGTGCAGAACCTAGTCTTTCCTCATCCTGGCTCTGAGTCTCAGTTTCCTTCACTGGGAAACAGAGGTGATGGAGTGAGGCTTCAGTTCAGTAATGCACTCAGGGTGCTTGGCAGAGGGCACAGTTCAGGGATAGCAGTGAACGTTTCCTGGGTGTCTACTGGACATCTGACACTGTTCACTCAGTTCTTTACACATCATCACGTCTAGCCCATAGAAGAAACAGTTACCATGCTTATCTCAGAAAAGAGGGCACAGGGGCTCAGAGACTTAGATAACTCACCTGAGGTCACACAGTCAGTGAACGGGGCAGGCAGGATTTGAACCCATGCTTGTCTGACTCCAGGGCCCACTCTATAAACAGCTGTTACACCATCACTCATACCTTCTCCAGGAGGCCTCATCCCGCCAAAACTCATACAGGGTGAAGGAGGCATTGTCCAACGTCTTCTGTGCAGACACACTGTGAGGCCAAAGAGACGGCCAGGCCAGGCCCAGCCCATGGCTGCCTACCCAGCTGGGGGCCATCTAGCAGCAGCCCTGGCCCAGGAGGCCCAGCCCTAACACCCCTCCCTGCTTTGCCCTGCCCCCACCAGCCAGCCAGGACTCACTGCAGGCACTGACTCTGGGCCCCTGTGAAGTCCACGTAGCAGCACAGGGCACGGTGGAAGTCCTGCATGGCCTCCTCTGCCACCTGGACCTGCCTCTGGGCCATGAGGATGTGCTGGGAAGAGAGGCAGCACAGACTGCTGGCAGGGCGCAGGGTGCAGGGCGCAGGGCGAGGGACCCCTCCCTCCTTGACCTGCACCAGCCCATCTTCCCTGGGGTCGGGCTCCTGACCCCCACCTATCCTGCAACATCCCTGACTCCATCCTCCTCCCCATCTCCAAGGTGGCTGCCATGGTCCCTCTCGCTCTGCCGTATGCCACCACCTCCGCCTGCCCCCTCCAACTCTCCCATCCACAGTGGCCGCAGACCCGGCTGCAGGAATGCAGACGGGGAAAACTGATGCCAGAGAGGGGCAATGATTCCTGTCGGGTCACAGAGCAAACACCAGAATACGGCACCTGCCAGCCAGCCCTGAGCCTGAACAAGCCCAGCCTGGAGAGTGGGGCCACACCAGAGGAGGCGGACATGGGCACAAAGCAGGGGCTGGGTGAGCCGGTGGCACCAAGCACCTCCTCCCTTCATGAGCCCCCTGACCCAGGCCCCAGTCGCCTGCCACTTCTGGACTCACCGAGTCAGGCCCCTTGGCCAGCTCCTCTTCATACAGGGGCTCCAACAGGGGTGCCTGGGAGGGACAGAGTGTGGGCTGGGCCCCCGGCTCATGCCTGGCTTAGATGCACCCCAGGAAGGCCCTCTCTGCAGGGCATTGGCCACACGGCCACTCACCTTGCACTCAAGCTGGTCGATGAGCTCCTGGAGACGGTTGACCTGGAGCCGCCATTGCATCTCGGCCTCTGAGCTCCGCTCTGCAGGGAATGCCATGGGGGCAGTGAGGCATGGAGCCCTTCGGGTTGGAGGCCTCTTGGGATGAACTGAGAGAGGAATAGAGGGGGGCACTAGGGGCAAGGGGTATGCAGTGCCCACCCGGGACCCTCCTCGCCCAGGCCTCCCACCCTGCACAAGCCCCACCTGTGTCGGAGGAGCTGGACCAGGTCGGTGACCGGCTGATACCCCTCGCAGCCCTGCGTCCTGCCCGCCGGCTGCCACGCGGCCTACTCAGCACCTCTACACTCTCTTCATCCAGCCTAGGGGGAAACAGGAGGTCAGCTTATGGCCCCGAAACCCACAGGGCCAAGGACTGGGCCCCCAGGACAGGACCAGGCCTAGACGGGGCAGGACTAGCTTCTTAAGACATTCAATCTCAAAGCCAGCCATCTCCTCTCACCCCCTTGTGGCCTCCCCGCCCAAGGACATGGGCTCCAGGATGCTGGAACTAGAGAAGGTGGTGAAGGCTGAGGACTTGGAACGTGGGGACAATGGGCATTCATGTCTGGACCCTGAGGTTGGCGAAGGGCCCCCCTCACATACCTCGGGCCAAGGGCCTGGGCCTCCAGGGTGTCTGACGCCCCCTCCAGTGAGGTCTGCAGGGCTTGCAGCTGGCCCACTGTCTCCCGCAGCAGGAAGCGTGTCACAAACTGCTCCACCTTGGAGGCCCGCTCATACTCCTGGGGGCGGAGGAGGCAATGGTCCACATCCCCATCCCAGGGCATATATTTCTGAAGGAGGTGCCCCTGGCCCCCATCCCTCTACCATGTAAAGAGCAGACAGGATGAGAATCTGATACAAGCAGGAGGGCTCTGAGACTCAGGGGTGGGAGGAAAGGAGGGCCTGGACCCCTTCTACTCTGAGCTCCGTCCCCCTCCAGGGAGATGCGGGGCCGACTCGCAGGGAGACATCTGCCAGCTAGGATGCCTGACTTCTCTGAGGGACTCAGAGAAGACTTCCTCTCCCTCCGGGCCCTTACCTTCAGCACTGCTACAGCCCATGGGCCCCAGGACACAGCCAGGCTTGGGTAAGGGCAGGTCACAGGGCATCCAACAGCCAACGTGAACACACAAGGCAAATGATAGTATAACATGGCCTCATACCCACCCGCTAACCTCAAACTCACATTTGTACGCTGCTTCATTCATTCACGCAACAGACACCTATTGAAGACCAGGAGCTACAGATGGAAGGCAGTCACTAACTTCACACCCAGATACACCAGCAACTCACTTCAACCAGCACCATCAGCCTCCCTCAGCCCCTCCCAAGGTGGGCAGGGTGGCAGGGAAGCCCACTATATGCCAGGCCCTGCGCTGCCCATTCTGGGAGACTCCCTTCATTTCTGTGCCTCAGTTTCCTCATCTATAAAATGGTGATGATAATACCCATCTCACTGAACTGTTGAAAAGACTTGGCCCAGTGCTTGGCCCATACATTCTTGATACAAGAAGAACTGTCATTACTTGTATTATCAAACATAATAGTAACAAACAACCCATCCACTTGTACCTCCAAAAGTCACAGAGTTTCTGGGATGGAGCCCTAGTTCAGGTCCCTCTCTCTGCAAGGAGGTCCCAGAGGCAACATCCACCAATGGCTTCATCTCCTGATGGTGACCTGCCTCAGCTCAGCCACCAGACGGGCACCTTCCTGGGCCAGGCTTGTGAGTTGGGAGGCAGGGACAGAGGCGAGACTGAATCTTCCCAGATGAGCCAGTGGTTTTTGTCCCGTCTCCGAGCCCAGTCTCCAGGTTTGCTGGCCATGCTCTGAGCTCCCCGAAATCCTTCCCATCAATTCCCTTTTCTGGCACCTATGATGATTGATCAGTTTCTGTTGCTTGCAACCAAAGAAGCTAGCTGACACAAGCACCCAGTCTGTGCCAGGCACCGTTCCAAGCACAATCTCATTTATTCTTCATAACAACCTCCTAGAGCCACAACTGACTCTGTTCCGCAGATGAGAAGATTGATGCCTTCAGGTTGATTACACTGGCCAAGGTCATACAATTAGTAAATGGCAGAGCCAGGACTCAAATCCCTACTCACCACTAAGCACCCTACAAGCATTACCTCTTTTATGATCATTGGGCCAGGAGCAGCCATAGACAAGATTCACCTGTGGGTTCTAGGAGGCACTCGGAGCCTGGAGCTGGTGAGGTCCACCCATGAGGTCACAATGCGGCCTCCCTAGGGCGGGGCAGAGCCAGGCCTTTGCCAGGGGTGGGGCAGAGGTGGTATGGGTAATAGCCCACAGTGGTGAGTGGCCTTGCCATGGGAAACAACAGTTCCCACAAGAGGACCAAGATGCCCAAGCAGGCCTGTAAGGAGAAGCCACCTGACACGGACAAGTCCTGGCAGAAGCAGTTCTTCAACCACCTCAAGTGGAAGAAGTCTAATGTAAGTGTCCAGTGCACAGTGGGCAGTCAGGGGAACCTGGACGGGTGGGCAGGAGGGAATGCTGGGAATGTAGGCGTCATGGGCAAAAACCCTAGCACCATAGGAGAGGCCAGGGATCCTTACTGGGGTTCCCAGGAATCTACTTGAGTGTGGATGATGGTTCTAGAAGCCGAGAGGGGAAGACAGAGATCCCAGAAACCAGGAGGAGGGACAAGAATTGGGAGCCCAGAAGAGTGGGCAGGAAAAGGCTTCTCCTACCCCTCCTCAGTACCATTGGGCCTGTGGGTACCGGGAATTCCTTCATGCTCGCTCCCACCTCGCCAGTCTCCAAACATGCTCCTTTCGCCTCTTCAAGGGGGCAGGGGTCCTGGACACTGGGCTGGGGTGGGTGAGAGTTCCTGGCATCAAGGATGGGAGAGAGGCAGGGAGCCCATAAACGTGAGCAGAGAGGGGTCTCGGGAGGTAGACCTGGAATGGGTGAGGGTTTGTAGGGGTGGACATCAGGTACGGTGGGTGAGGGTCCCCCGCCACGCAGGGGAGACTGCTTCTCCAGGGTCTGGAAGGTGGGATCCCCGGAACATGCGAGGGTGGTGTGGGCTCGGACACCTGGAGGGACAGGCTCCTGGAAGCTAGAACCCGGGTGGGTTAGGGACCCCGGGAGGAGACGGGACGGGTCCCAGGTCGTGGGCTCGGCCACGCAGGCTCTTGTTCCCCTCACGTCCCCGTTCCCCAAGAGCAAGATTGTATTGCTTTTCCAGCTGGACAAAAGGCAGCCGCCGGCCGAGGTGGCGACAGGCCCCGGCGCGCGGACTAGACGCTCGGGGGAGGCCGCGACTGGCCCTGCAGGGGACTGCCAGGCGGTTCCGCCCATGCTGCTAGGAGCCGGCGACAGCGCACTCTCCCCGAAGACGAATGAGATGCTGATCTTGGTGCTGCTACTGCTGCTGGACGCGCGGATGCAAGCGGAAGGGCTCCGCGCGGCGGCCGAGGGCGGCGCCGGCGCGGAGGGCGGGGCCCGGACCGAGGCGGCGCAGAGTTGGCCCCGCCTCTTCGAGCCCCTGCTGGCCGCGAGCGAGGCTGACAGTGAGGCCGCAGGGCAGCCGCGCAAGTGGTGTCGCTGCCCGCACCGGCGCCTCTGAGCACCCAGCTGGTTCCCCAGCCCGGGACCGGCCCAATAAAGAGCGCATAGCAACCCTGGCGCCTGCTAGCTCTGTCTGAGGTGTTGGGGCACCGAGTCAGAGAGGGAACTGAGGCCCAGAGCGGACAGGGATGAACTGGACGTTTCTGAAGACAAAGCTACAGCCTAGTTTGGAGTCAGGACTGCCTTCACCTTCTCCCTTCCTTGTGACTCAAGGGTCACAACCCCTCACCAGAGATGGGCAGGGAACACCCATGCCACAGTGGAGGGAGGCTGTTTCGGGTCTGCCCTCCCCAAACCCTGGTCAGATCCCTCCAGATCTGCAGGCCCCAGGAAGGTGGGTTTGGGCAAACCCAAGCCTGGCCACCCGGAGAGGGGTGCTCCTCCTGGCAGAGGGCTGGCCATTTCCAAGAGTTCCAAGGATTCCAAAATATGTTTTAGGCAGAGGGAGGGATTCCAGGCAAACAGCCACGATTCTAGGGAGGAACTGTGAAGGTACTTACAGTCCTACTAGTGGAGCCTGACACTCAGACTCTGTGACTGCACCCCAGAGCAGAGGCCCCAGGCTCTGGGCTCCCCCCAACTCCTACTACACTCTGTTGGTAACCCCCAAGCCCTGAGACTTCTCCAAGTCAAATTCAGCACTTGTCCCCCAACCTACCCTGTTGCCCACATTGCAGCTAAAGGCTCCTTCCAAACCACTTGTCTATCCAGGGCAGGTCACTCCCCTGCTAGTAAGTTTCCACTGCCTCCCCCTCCACACACACAGAGAGAAAAGCCCAACATATTGGGATGTGGAGGCCCAGTTCCCAGCATGTCTTCTCTAGGACCTCTCAGGGCCTGCTACCTTCGCCCCTGCTCTGGCCATATTGCCTCTGTGGTCTCCAGCGTGAGGCTCTCCTCCCTAAATCATCCGTGAGAAGCCTGGCCTACTTTCTGTGTGCAGGACCCAGCTGCTTCGCCTCACTCTCTTGGGCCCTAAGCCAGCTCCAGACCCCAGTGCTGCCCCAGCCCTGCCAAAGCTACAGGCTTCTTTCCCACCACACACTGGTGACCCCCCTCAGGATGACAGACCCCTTTGGACGCAGCAGGGGTGAGAAGGTCCCAACTCACTACAGCCAGAGGCACAGCTTCTGCTCAAAATTCTCTTTTATCATTCGACCCAACATCCCCGCCACATTGTCTGGAGCAGCCTGGAGCCTGTCCGACCCATAGCATCTCCCCTACTTTTTGTGAGAACTCTTCCCTACTATCCATATGGTTACACTCAGGGCTACTATGTTCATCGCTGTGGCCACGCCCCTTGACTATGCTTGGTTGGCCCATACTGGTCCCATCAGCCCATTCTCTGTGACTAATTCAGAAGCGATAAGAGGCCATATTTTCTACATGAATATCCACAGACGCAAGCCTGTCTTTAGAAGACTTTTTAAAAAGAAAAAAAAAAAGTGCGCATGCTGGGTTCCCTACAGCCATGTGGTCAGGCCCTTTCCAGTCTGTTCCTGGGGTCTGATTTCACCTTTGCCCTTGGTATCTATAAGACATATAAGATCTTTGTAAATAAAACCCCAGTTTTTACTTAAGCCCACCTGAGTGGGTCTTTTACCTGCAACTGAAATTGTCGCAAACGAATAGTAAGTGGTCTCTTTCCTGTAAGGATTATGACCACCTGTTGGAGGAAGACACTGGGCCCAGAAAGGTTGAGATTTGCTCAGGGTTGCACAGTGAGTCAGCTTCAGACTGACACAGGCTCAGGTCATGTCCACACATGGACGCCAGAAGGTTAAAGCTTTAATGTTGGCTGCCTGGACCTCTCAGGTCTCAGCACACAGAGCTCCTCAGAGTGGCTGTAGATCTGCGATCAAAAGGTTTCTCTTCAGCATTGGAAAGGGACAGGCCACACATGTGGCCAGAGCACATCAGATGACCTGAAGTGGTTTAAAGAAGGAATCGGATTGGGTTTGCTGGGCAGGAGCGGCCAGACCCTTGGGCCACGATCACTGCCCTTCTGTGACAAGAGGAAGGATGGGTCCAGGAAACTTTCTTGGGGGAGGGGGCTGTGGAAGCACAGCTGGTGCTGAAGACTGAGGTCACAATGAGTCCAATCCAAGTTCTTTTCTTCCTTCTCTGGCCATCCTTCCCACCTCCACAACCAAGCACTACTTCGGCCAAGCCCAGGTAAGAGGTGCCAGGAGACCACCTGGGGCTCAAGGGTTGGGTTAGACTCCTGGGTCCCCAAGGGGTGATGCATGTGCAGAAGGCCTTGCTAAGGACCCCATCATTCTCAGAGCTCTGCTGCTGCGCTGGCAGCTTCTCAGAATCTAAAACGATTCTGTCTCTTTTATCACCCACTTCAGCAGGGGCTGAGAGGGCAGGGCCAGAAGTGACTCTTGAAAGAAGTGAAGCAGAAGTGACTCTTGAAAGAGACAGAGTGGCGCGGTGCATAGCAGCTGGAGTCCTGAGCCCAAAGAACTCGCAGAGTACAAGAGGCGAAGAGACCCACACTTTAACCAGAGGCAGGGCTTCAGGTCTCGGGGTGGAGCCAAGAGCCAAGAGCTGAAAAGGAGATCCAGAAGTGAGAAGAGACTCGGAAGAGGTCCAGACTGAACGGGGTAGCTTTTATCCAGCCCAGAAAAGGTAGTACTTAGGCCCACCCAAGAGGCAGAGCCAAGAGCTAAAAGGTAGAAGCTTTATCTAAGCCGGCGGAGGCGGAGTCTCAGGCAGACAAGATACAAGAGGGGCGGAGTCCGACTCCAGGGGGCGGGGCTCAGGGCTGACTCTTCCAAGCCGCGGACAGAGAAGGCGGAGCTGGGCTTCGCCCCTGGGAAGCTGCACCCTCCGCCGCTGGGCGGGGCCTGTCCGGAAAGTGGCGTCCACGTGCGGGGTCCGCGGGCTGCCCGCGCGGGGCCGCATCGCGGTGGTGGTGGACCAGGGCTCCGGTTTCACCAAGGCGGGCTTCGCGGGCGAGCACAAGCCGCGCCTGATGCTGAAGAGCTCCAGCCTGGTGCCCAGCTGGGACCGACCCGTGCTGCCCGGCGCGCCGGGCTGCGAGCTGGCCGGCGGCGTGGCACGAGCGCACCCCATCAAGCACGGCGTGGTGGTAGACTGGGAGGCGTTGGAGGGGCTGTGGGAGCGCCTGCTGGTGGGCGGCCTGCGGGTTTGCCCAGACCAGTGGCCCGTGCTGGTAAGCGACTCGCCGTCGGCGCCGCCCGGAGGCCGCGAGAGGGTGGCGGAATTGCTGTTCGAGACGCTGGCAGTGCCCGCGTGCCACATGGCCAGCACCGCGTTGTTGGCGCTCTGCTCCACCGGCGCCCTCAGCGGGCTGGCGGTGGAAGCCGGCGCGGGGGTGTGCCACGCCACGCCCATCTACGCGGGCCACTCCTGGCAGGAGGCCACCTTCCGGCAGGAGGTGGCAGGCTCTTCTCTGTCGCGCTACCTCCGGGAGCTGCTGGTAGCAGCGTGCCCGGACCTCCAGCTGCACAGCCTGCCCCGCAAAGCCATCACACAGCTCAAGAAGCGCTACTGCTATGTGTCGCTGGACTTCGAGGGAGACCTCCGGAACCCTGCCCGCCACCAGCCAGCCAGCTTCTTCCTAGGCAGTGGGCGCTCCATCCACCTCAGCAGTGAGCGCTTCCGCTGCCCCGAGCCCATCTTCCAGCCGCGTCTGCTAAGCCTGACTGAGCCGGGACTGCCCGCACTGGCCTTTCGGGCACTGCAGAAGGTGCCCGCGACACTGCGAAAGCGGCTGGCCGACACCGTCGTGCTGGCCGGCGGCTCCACACTTTTCCCTGGCTTCACTGAGCGCCTGGACATGGAGCTGGAGGCCCAGTGCCGGCGCCACGGCTACGGGGCGCTGAAGCCACGCCTGGTGGCTACGCCTGGGCGCGCCACAGCTGTGTGGACAGGTGGCTCCATGGCGGCTTCGCTGAGCTCCTTCCAACGCCGCTGGATGACCCGGGCCATGTACCAGGAGTACGGCTCCAAGCTCGTGCACGAAGTGTTTAACTAAGTCAAGTTCGACTGGAGGGGGTGGAGCCATGGAAAGGCACTGGCCGGGCAGAGCTGCAGCTGTCAGACGCACCGGTGATAGATAAAGAGTCTAAAGAGTTTGAAGCTGGCAGTCATGGCGTGGTGATGGGCCACTCCCTGTCCCTCCCTGTTCGTGGAGGTGGGGGGCCTTTGGGGTCCTCAGCTTTGATCTGCAGATTGAATCCTCCCTAACTAGTCCCAGTCCAGCTGCCCACCACTAAGGCCCTGTTTCTATGGCAACAAGACAGGCAGTTGCAGGCACTGGTGTGCAGGCCACAGCTATGTAAGTCCCAGCAACACACCAACCCCCTCATCATGTAAGGGTAACCCATCAGAAAGCCATTGCATCCCAAGGGAAAGCAACCAGAAGGGGAAGCCCTATCCCCACCTGTATCCTCAGGTCACTGGCAACTCTTAGGGCCTCAGTTTCTGCTTCTCTAAAGTACAGACTCAAGCATAATCCCAGGCCTGCCCACTGCTCCCTCCTGCCCCCTGTAAGGGCTGTAAGACAAAGGGAGGTGGGGACATTGCCTTAAAAGGAACATTCGAACGGATGGGCAGCTTGTGGCTATTTTGAAGTCACCACCCAAGAGCCTGGAGCCGTTTATGCTCGTGCACACACACGTGTCCACAAACACGTGGGTGCACGCGTGCCTGACTGCTCACGAATGCCCTCAGGCCAGGCTCCCCCACCTGCTAGCTTCCAAGCACCAGCATGGGCCTGTGGATGTGTGCGAGCAGGGGCCCTGCCTGCCAGCCCATTCCTGCTGGGTTTTGTACCCCACAACAGTTGGATCTGACCCAAGAATAAAAACAGCAACAGCCACTCCAGGTACTAAGTGCCTACTGTGTGCCAGGCACAGTTCTGGGTGCTAGGAATAGAGCAGAGAACAAACAGACAAAAATCCCTGCCTTCATTCTCATTTAATTGTTGCAACAAATGCATGGTGCTACCCTCTATTTGTATCCCCATCTTACAATGAGGAAACAGACCCAGAGAGGTAAAGGTGCACAGCGAGGGGAGCCAGGATTCAAACCCAGGCCCCTAGCTCCACAGCCCTGAGCCACGACAGTGGAGGTTCCCATGGCACGGCAGTCACCCCTGCCCTCACTTCTCCCATCATCCACCCCTGCACTCACCTGTTTGGTGGTATCCATGGCTGTGAGCACCGCATGGTTCAACGACTCCAGCGCAGCCAGCACGGGCCGGTAGACACCCAGGTGTTCTGAAAAGTAGTCTGTGGACAGAGGAGGTGCTCAAGGGTTCCCCCACCCATCTGTCAAACTTTCCCCAAGTCTGGTTGCCTGGAATTCCTGGCCCAATCTATACTCAGCAGCCAAGCAGGTCCCATATCCTGAGCTCAGCCCATTCTGTCCTATCAAGGACCAGTCACAGCATCTTCACACCCAGGGGTCCCAGGAGACAAGAGGCCCTGTGGACCTACTCACCACACAGTTTCTCTGTTTCCAAGTTGCTGTAAGGAAAAGAGAAGGTGCCCTTCAGGGACTTGGACTTGGACCTGGTGAGTGGTGGTTTGAGGCCACTGTGTCCCCCTGCCCCTGCCCAACAAGGAAGCAACTTCTGCCTCCACTCCAGGTTAAGTTGCTCAGTGGGCAGGGGGCACTGAGGCCCTGGGGGCAGGGAGTAAGGGTACTGCTGGCCCCCTCAGAGAAGGCACTGACGCAGACTCGCTTCTGGCCCCCAAGGAGACCCCAGGCGGGGGGAGAGAGATGTAGACAAAGGCCAGAGAGGAGTGGTCAGAGCTGTGAAAAGGAAGCCAGGTGGAAAGCCCAGGGGAGGCACAGGGAAGTACTTGATAAGTGAGGGGTGAGGGAAGGCTCTCTGGAGGAGGCGCTGAAGAATCAGGTGTTTGACTTGAGTCTCTGGTCATGGAGGGGAAGCAGTGGAGACAAAGGATCCAGCCCAAGTTTCAAAAAAGGGAAGGGCACGGGAGCCTTGAATGCTGACCCAGAGAACCTGGCATTTCCCGAGCAGGTACAGAAAGCCGTGGGAGGCAGCTGTCTGCCCATCCACCCACGTGAGGAAGCCGAGGCACACAGGTGTGGGAACACCCATGGGGAGATGCGTGTGTGTTCATGCACCTGCGTTCATGGGTGGAAGCAGGCGGGGCCCCAGCTGTCCCCAGGCATCCTCTGGTCCCCATGAGAAGTGGGAAAGGGGGGTGCCTGAGGATGAGCCACGGGTGGTGACTCAGGCCTAGCTATTTTGGGGTCCCATCTGGAAGCAGAGTGGTGGGCAAGGCTGGTGCCAGGAAGGAGGCGGGTGGGTGGGAAAATCTGGCACACCTCTCCTTGGCCCCACCAGTCCCCTCCTGTCCTCGATAAGGAACCAAGGCAGCAGGGGACACAGTGGGGCTTGGACAACCTGGCCTCGCACTCACTCACAGCTCAGCCGTGCCGCCTCTCACTCACTCAGTGGGATGCCCGTCGATGCCGATGAACAGTTCCCGCAGCTCCCCTGGGCTGAGCACCCCATCAGCGAAGTAATTCTGGAATTCTTCAAATGAGAGCTTACCATCATCTGGGGTGGGAGACAGGGAGCAGAGTCAGGACCCCCTGGTCCCTGGCTGCACCCCTGCTACCAGGTCTAGGCCCCCCAAAGGCTTTGTGTCATCTCATAACCACCCAGCCAAGTGGAAAGGGATTCTGACCTCTGTGGGGACCTGCCCGTTGGGGACAGAAGAGCTAGGGCCCCCAGAGGTGCCCAATGAAGGCAGCAGGGCCTACTCAAGGGACAGGACACTATGCACATAGCATTGGGTAGGAACTCAATAAATGTTTGTCAGTGAAGAAATGAAGGAGCAGCCTGGGACTAGCCAAAGCATGCAGGAGGTGTGGAGCCGAGTCCCTGCTGCATGTGCTGGCCAGCCTCACTCCAAGGTGGAGGAAACGCTGTGCTCTGGGAAGACCCAGGACTTCACAGAGAAGACCTTCACGTGAGCTCTTCCTAATACTGGAGCTTCTATAAGCAGCAGCAGACTGGCTCAGGAGGGAATGAGCTCCCCATCACAGGGCGCATGTGAGGAGAGGCAGAGCATGCTTGAGTGGTGTTAAGAACTGAACTGTATCCCCCAAAAATACGTGTTGTAAATCCTAACTGCTATGCCTATGGTTGGGAGCTCTGGTAGCACCGTGGCTAAGGCATTTGACTGCTAACCAGAAGGCTGGCGGTTCAAACCCACTGCCAGCCACTCCTCGGAATGAAGATGGGGCAATCTACTTCTGTAGTGATACTGCCTTGGTAACCCAAGGAGGGGTCACTATGAGTCGGGTCCGACTCGACGGCACATAACGACAACAACAACATGCCGATGGTTATACAGGTATGTGTCACCTAATGTCCATATGTTTTGTGAAAAAGGACATTAAGTGCTTTGAACACTGCAAATACATGAAAACCAATGGAAGCCCGTTTCCAGTTGCTGCTGCTGCTGCTGGAGCTGCTGGAGCAAGAGCTGTGGCTGAGAGGGCGGGGCCAGGAGCAGCTGGGAGGCGGCAAGTGGGGAGGGAGTGCCGTGTGGCCTGCCCCACTCACTGTTCTGCCTGCCCACCTGACACAACCCATGAGCCATGACTATCCCACCTGTGGTCCAGTGCTACCACAGTCTAGGTCTGAGGTCTTTAGAGCATGGGGGGGGGGGACCCACTGCCATCAGGTTGATTCAGACTCATAGTGACCCTACAGGCCAGAACTGTGCCATATGGTTTCCAAAGCTGTAATCTTTATAGAAGCAGACTGCCACATTTTTCTCCCATTTAAAACCACTGTTGTTGTTATTATGTGTCATCGAGTCGGACGCGACTCATAGTGACCCCTCCTTGGGTTTCTGAGGCAGTATCACTACAGTAGATTGCCCAACCTTCCTTCCAAGGAATGGCTGGTGGGTTTGAACTGCCAGCCTTCTGGTTAGCAGTCAAATGCCTTAGGCACTATGCTACCAGAGCTCCTCTTAAAACTATTAGGGGAGAATAATATACAAAGAGAGAGCCTCTTCCCCTTTTAAAGCAAAAAAACAAACCTTATGGGACCATAGATGGATACCTGTAATCCCATTTGGGAATGGGCTGTCTTTATGTGAACGAGGCACGATTACTGTAGGATGTGTTTTGAGTCCATCTCTTTTGAGATATAAAAGAGATGAAACAAGCAAGCGAGAGAAGCAGAGATGAAGACTGATACCAAGCCATATGGAGATCTCCAAGCAACCAGGAAACTGAAGGGACAAGGACCTTCCTCCACAGCTGACAGAGAGAGAAAGTTTCCCCTAGAACCAGGACCCTGAATTCAGACTTCTAACCTCAGCTGTGAAAAATAAATTTCTTTTTGTTAAAGCCATCCACTTGTGGTATTTCTGTTATAGCACACTAGGTAACTAATACAAGTGGCACGGTCAAAGAACCTGGAGATTGGGCCCCAATGATGTGTAAGGTCGCTAGCCAGATGGCAGGAGGAGGCAGAGCTGACGGAGGGTTTGAGCCTCACCAGAGAGAATTGCCTGATCCAAATAAGACCATGTGGGTCGGGACAGACATCATCTCCACCAACTTTAAGAGACTCAAGGAGAAAGGGCAAGAGGTGGGGCACATGATCCCATCTCAGGGAAGATGAAACAAACACAAAAGGACATGAAGACCCCAGAGGGGAGTGAGCTCAAAGCTGATTGGCTGCCTCAGCTCAGACTCTCAATTGGCCAATCAGGGCACAATGTGTGGCTCTGAGTTGTCTATGGACATCACCCTGTTGCTTGCTGGGCTTCCTAAGGGTTCCTGCTTTAGCTTCCAAGGCTTTCCCAGATCAGGGTGTGAAGAGGCCAAGGGCCTAGGGAAGGACAAGCTGACTCCCTGGACACTGGATACTGCTTCCCAAAGGCCGGGTTTGTTTCATTCAAGCCCTCCCTGGGTCCAGATAGTTGGTTCATAAGCAAAGTTCAAAGCAAGCCCTCTAAAAAATCTAACAGTAAAATCCCCCTCAGGGCCTCATGGGCCTAGCTGGTGGTTGTGAGACAACACAAACTCAAGGACCAGAAGCACCCATCACTGTCCAGGGCACTCCGACAGTAAGCCCACCTTCCCCTGGTCAAACATTTCTTCCTCCTTGCATCCTGCAAAAGTTGGCTCAACATAGCACTTCCGGGAAGGGTGCCTTGCTTGATTCTCCTGATTCAGGCCTCCCCAAGATTTGTCTCCACTCTAGATGGTGCCTCGTAATCCCCCAACCTTCCTCTGGGCTTCCCTGATGTTCCCTCTCTACCCCCCACCATGGGGACCCAGAGGAAGCCACACTCACCATTCTTGTCTGCTCTTCGGAAAACCTAGAGAACAAAGAGTTGTGGGTGGCAGTTGTGAGTGGGGCCTAGAACGCAAGAGGCCCTCGCCCAACCCGACCACAGGGCCACAGCTGGCCTGCCTGCCCCCTGCCTTGTCTTTCCTCCTGCCCAGCCTGATCCTGACCTCCGCTCCCGGCTCTCCCAGCTCGGCTCTGCAGGAGCTTCTCCAGCAAGTAGGGGGTGCAGGAAGAGCACACAGCAGGTCCCATTGCTTGCTCACTTCTCCTTCAGAGCCTGGCCTCATGGGGGGTGCTCCAGGCCAGCTCCCTGCACCCCCACATCCTACACCCAATCAGCCAGAACTCCAGTGCATCAGCCCCTGGCACGGTCCCAGCCTGAGGAAGGTTGGGGAGATGGGCCAAGATGCAGAGCCCGAGGATCCTGGGCACCCATCGCAGACCTGAACCCCAAACTCTGCAATATGGCCTTGGTACACTCCAGACCCTGCCCTCTCTGGGCTGTTTCTGAGTGCTCGGTGAAGACCCTGATCTGCAGGGCAGTGACTAGACCAGTTTTCTCAAGAGTATGATGAGGGAGCAGCCTGCAGTCAAGCCTTCTAGAGCGCGGCCGACTCAGTGGGAGGGCCTTGGGCGGGCATGTATGTTCAAGTGGGAGTGAGGGGTGAAAGGTGAGGGCAGACAGACTGTATTCAGGAGCAGAGATGAAGGGCAATAGAGGTGGTGAGGAAAAAGCAGAGTCAAAATAGTCTCTGCCTCTTCCAGGGACCAGAGACTCCCAAAGCAGCCCAGCAAAGGGATGACCAGAAGGCCACAGCAAGGAGGGACAGGCCAAAGTCGGAACACAGAACTTTCATCAGGCTTCCAGTCCTGAATGCTTTCACAGGGACAGTGAGATCCAGAGATGACTCTAACCCCTAGCCAGACACCTAGCTCAGAGAAGGTCTGCCATTGGCAGAGGATCACACAGCAGCCCAGTGTGGCCTGGCGGATGTAACAGCTAGAGATCCTGGGGAGAAAGGTGCAAAGCTGGAAATCAGGGCACCTAGGATCATCCCCTAGAGTGCCCTTGCCTCCATGTGACCTCAGACACGTCCCCAACCCCCCAGGCCTTGGTTCCCACATCTGGGGAGCAGGGAGATCAAGTCCCTTTCAGCCAGGATGGAGGATGTGGTCAAGGTGCTGAGTCACTGGGGGCAGTGGGGACGGGGCAGGAAGCTCTGAGAGGAGGGGGCGGGAGGGAGCTGGGACCGGGCTAACAGTGAAGGTGGAGGGCAGGAAGGGGCTCAGGGCAGTGACTGAGGCACCGCCATGCTGTTGTATGGGGCTGCCAAGGGTAGGTGCAGGGTCACTGCCACCCATGGGAGGGATGCCCAGACCACAGAGGATGGCTGTGTGCAGCCCTGACCGACTTTGGGACCCACAGCCCCTGGGTCAGGCTTTAGGGGTTCTGAGGTCAGCATCAGAGCAGGACGTGAGGAGGCTGATGTGGCCCCAGGCTCCCCTGCCCTAGTACAGCCCAGCCTGGGACTGCCATAGGGTCCCGTGAAGGCTTCTGCGATCAAACGTTTACAGCCTCCAACCCCACTGGACACACAGACGAGGTGTGGGTAAGAACAGGGAGCAACAGGGGCAATGACCGGAGACAAGGAGAGATAAGAGAGGCAGAGAGAGAGACAGAGAACAGATGACACAAAGGAAGACAGACAGGAATACTGGAGACGTACGGAAATACACCGCGGGGTCGGCGAGAGACCTGGAAGGACGGACACTGACAGCGACAGAGACCGGGAAAAACACGGTAAGAGAGACGCACAGACGGGGACACGGGGAGACACTGAGCGACACAGAGCCCCAGCGAGACACAGGGAAAGAGACACCTCGAGAGACAGAAACAACCCGGGGCCACAGCGCCCACGCCCGCGCCCCACTCACGTCCTGGAACAGCGCGTGTCCGGCGGGCCCCGATCTGGCGGGCCCGGCGTCGGGGGCGGGAGCGGGGGCCCGCAGGCGCTCAGGCGCGGGCGGCCGGAGCAGGCACACGGTGAGGAGTCCAGCGCACGCCATGGCGACGCCACCCGCTGCACCCGGGCTCGGCTGCGG